ACTACAACTGACCTGGATGAGGATATAATCCAAAAGGTCGAAGAAAAAGACTCGCTGGGGAAAACCCAATGAGAAAGCATGCAGGGTAGGAACTCACTCAGAGAAATACCACATACTTGGTTGAGGATATCATCCTCATTAACAAAAGGTCAAAGAAAAAGACTTGTTGGGAAATGCCCAATGAGAAAGAATGCAGGGTAGGAACTCAATCAGAGAAATACCATCGATTTAGATGAAAATTGATCTAGACTCTCATGATTGGTCTGGATCCTGACTTATGTTATGCATGCCTGTTTAATTTTAATGGCATAATGTTTCACCTTAATGAAAATTCCATACACAATGCATGAAATGTCAAGATTAGCGCATGCAATTGAATGATTGAGTTTTTGTGAGGCTTGATTTCTTTTCCTCGAAAAGGTCAAGTGAAGCTAAAATTATGATGTACCAATGACGATTGGATTTTAGAGGGGGGGGGGTGATTTTATTTCAGATTAAGAAAAGTTGAAGTTTGGGTGTACGGGTCTTTGAAGTAATTTTCATTGAATGGGAACTTTGGGAACAATTATACCATAACATGACCTGAGATGATTTGCCTCAGTGTTCAAATCTTGTAGCGGTGTGCCCCTGATTAATCAATTCCTAAAAGTTTTCTTTTGATCAACTGATCTTTGGAAGTTGGGTTTCACTATACTCTTAAGATGACATGCCCCTGTCTGAGCCTTTGATGGACTTGCCCCAAATTGACTGAACATTGAGATGATTTTTCCTCCTTGATCCATTGATGCTTGGAGATTTGTTTCAGACTGACCAATTCTTTGGTCAACATAATAATTAGGTGACATGCCCCTGGTCCATAAGGTTATAAGGTGGTCTTGATTCGGGTCAGCACCAATGAATGATCAAGTTCCCTCTGACTGCTCCTTGGAATTTCCTCGATGTCAAATACTTACTTGCAGTTAAAATTGTTCATTCAAAAATGCTAATTTTATTGCGATACTTATGCAGGTTTTGAAAAAATAATTATTGAAACAATGTGGTGATGTGTGACGAGTGGACCATTAGTCCAAGCGCAATACTGATTTTAGCCATTCAAAGTACGAAAGATACTGTGAAAATATGATACCAATACATGTGCTTAGCAAATCTCTAGAAGTAAGTTTAATGCAACCTTATTCTAGTATGCTTTCAAAAAAAATCATGCTTCAATTAGGTCTTTTAAGTGTTGTAACGTAGTCTGGTTCACAATTTTTGAACAAAAGGATATAAGGCTCAAAATTTAATTTTAACACGCTCCTTCTTCTTGATGATCTCCAGTCCTGCATTTTGTTAATTCAACACACGCGTTCAACTTCCAAGAGAATTTGAAGGTGTAAGGGTAAATATGAAGATTCAAGATCTAACAAGATTTCTTAAAATGACAATCAACTTATTTTGTCTTTGTCATGGATGTCGGTGACCATTTGATTCTTGATATGGTGGTCACCTAATCTTGATTTTCTTTTGTTGAGGATTTAAACGACCTCTTTTGACTGATTTTTTTTAGCATTTTATCCTTAGCTTTTTCTTGAACCGCTTCTTTGAAGCTTTCAGTCCACCAAGATGCCTTGTTTTTTTCCTAAGTCACCTCTTCGGGTATTCGATTTAGCGGATTTTCTTTTCTTCTTCTTTTTCTTTATTTTTCTTTTTGGAACAACTTTTAGGGAGCTTGTTCATTTTTTGGTATGGAAAGGTCTGTGACTGTCATGTTATGGGTTATCGAGGAACAAACATCATAACTTTTCGATTTTCATGATTCCTTCGATATTTCATGGAGTGTGCGGAGAATAGTATGTGGTTGATCCTCAATTGGGAAGCATGCTCTTGCAATTTGAATGCATGACCAAATTGACTGAAAAAACTACCTTGTCCCTGGATAAATGTAAGAGTTTTTTAGTTCCAAAAAAAAAACACCGACTTCTAGACTAAAAATGGTTGATTAGGGATTAACTCATTTATTCGGTGTTTGGGGATTTGAAACAATATCTTACATCGTCAGCAAAGTTTTATTTGAAAGTATACTGTAATAATTTTTGGTATTTTATTTTTCGTCATCCTCCCTCTAATTTTTTCTAAAAGAACAATTTGATAAAGAAAGTAAAATGGAAAAAATTTTATTTGTGTTTTATTTTACAATAGATGAGAAAAAATTGAGTAAATACCAAAGAATTAATTTAAAACATGTATGCTCATTTAAAGTAAATCCCAAATATTCAAATGGTGCATGCGTATCCATACACCTAATTAATATCTCTATACAACTATCAACTGATATGAGTTAAAAAATTTAATTTTAATTATTTAATTATAAATTAAATTTAAAAAGTGCTAATAGTACTAACCACATACTTTAGAATCCACATTCATATTCTACCATTTTATAAATTCACATGATGACTAACATTAAAATTTTAAATATTCTAGATAACTTTAAAATTTTGAATGATCTAGATATTAGGTCATAGATATCATATCAATGTTCCATGCTGAATTGTTTGGCTATAAAAGTAATTAATTTTGTTGTATAACATTTAGGGAAATCTTATCTTTTAAGTTATCATTTGAGATCATATCATTATATCAACCTTTATTTACAGTGTAAATATACAACTAATAAACTCATAGTGGATCTAAAAGAAAAATCATAAACTAATAAACAAATGGAGTAACAAACGGTAGTTGCTTCAATTTGGTGGCACTATAAAAAAGAATGAGGAGACATAAAAAAGAGATAGACACCATTGTAATTTGGTTGGTGTCAATTCAATAAAAATATATAATGAACTGATGCAATACAAAAATTTAACATTTAACAGACTTTTAATCGTATAATATTAAATTGTCTTAATTTTTTCTGATCGCAATTACAGAGAATCAAATTTTAATAAAGTTACATAGATCATCATTGAAACAACTAACGATGTTACTGTCTCTGTCTGTAGAATTTGTGTATAATATTAATGGAAATAAATTGTAAATGAATGATGACATGTATTGTTGTTGATGATCATGGTTGAGAAATTCCACTCTTCCACTAGTGGCCGCCCAAAAGTAAACGCTCATATTTTATTTTATTGATAATTTAATATCAAAGGAAGGAACCATTCATTGCTCCTTTTTATAATGAATTTGTTTTTGTCTCCACTTGTCAACTCCATCCAATTTAAATATTACAATTGCACACTTAGTCTAACCAATGTTTTTAAATATAAATAAATCAAGAATTTGTTTGTGAAACCTATCAGTCATGCCACAATTGGTTTAGTCAATTGAATAATAATTGAAATTAATATTTTAAGTAAAAATGTAAAAAAAAATAAATTATTTGTTAATTGCACTTGATTCGATACTTTTATATAAGAATGACAAGATATGTCGAACATATTCATTTTTTATATAATTTTTAAAAACGGATGAAGATTTTAGATTCACACACTTTAATATATTCTTTTTTGGATTTTTATATGTGCAAATTAATAAAAAAATTTGTAATTTTTAATTTTTAAAAATGTATGTAAGGCTAGCATATCCATCTCATCTTTGTTATTTTAGAGAGCAGAACAAAGTTTTAGATTCATACTTTTAACTATATTAACCATGTTCTGCTCTATTCTTTTCCAAACTTTTACAAGACAAATTTAAATATAACAGATATATTCATTTGTCATTTCTATCTATATATTAAACAATACCACAATAATTTTTTTACAAGATTATATTTTTTTCTAAATCGAGTATTCTATGTAGGCAAGTGTAAAGAATGAATTTTTTTAGTAAGAGAAAATTAGAATGGACGTCAAAACTATTCTTAAAAAAAATTAATTATATATATATATATATATATATATATATATATATATATATATATATATATATATATATATATATATATATATATATATATATATATATATATATATATATATATATATATATATATATATATATTAAGAGTTAAATTGGAATTAAAAAAAACATTCAAGTAACTTAGTGTTTGAAATTCACCTTTTAGAGATAAACAAATAGAATGGCGTGAATTTGAACTCGTGTCTATATAGTGCCCAAATATCAACTTAATTGTATTAATATGATGGAAATTAGGGGTGGCAAAACGGACCGTCTGCCCCGCCTTGCTTTAAGCCTGCTTAAAAAATGGGCGGAATGGACAAACCTGCCAAGTTAAAATGAATTTAAAAGTCTAGTTCACCTTTCTAAAGTGGCTGGTTGACAGACAACAGATTTATTCGCCTATTTATTTAATTTTTAATTTTTTTATAAATTAATAAACTTATTTTTATATTTTACTTAGATTTTTTATTTATTTTTTAAAATAATTTTTTATAAAACATTTTTTTAACAAATTTTACTTAAAATAATATTCCATACATTCATAAATAAATGTATAAATAGAATCATCAACAAATATTTTAAAATATAATTCAAATATTAACCTTTAACTAACTAAAAAATAATTTTAGTGTTTAATAACTATGATGACAGACTGACAGACCAACCCGTCCTTTTCTTTTAGATTTAAGGTAGAGCGGATTTAAAACAGAACAAACTAGACAAATAGACGCGTACAAAATCCTTACCCAATCCATTATTTTTTACTCAATTCATTAATTTTTTAGCGAGTGCACGGATCGATCTGACGGACCACGATCCTTTTACCACCCCTAATAGAAACTCTAAGTCAAGTCTCTAACTAATAATTTATACTCAATACAAAAAAAAATTAAAAACTAAATAAAAACGTCACCCCCACTTCTTCTCTCTCTCTCTCCTACCCTTATTTTTTCATGGTCAATGGATGGTCATGGTCTCACCCCATGCCACCCCAAAAATCTTGTCCCTCATTGGTTCATCTCACCCTTATGTTCCCTTCATCTTCCTCCTCCATCTTCCACACTCCAAACACCAATTTTCAAACCTTTTCCTTCTAACCAACACTTCCCCTCATGAGATCAATCCCTCCATCAACATCACTACTACCCTCCAACCCTTCCAACACTTACATGATTTTCTCCAAATTAATGCTCTCTATCATAACAACTACCTTTTTTCTTGTTCATGTCTCTTCCTCTTGTAACCAATTTGACAAAGATTCACTCTTGTCTTTCTCTTCAAATATCTCATCTTTTTCACCTCACCCACCTCTTAACTGGTCTTCTTCTTCTGATTGTTGTGATTGGGAAGGTATAACCTGTGATCAAAATAACCAACATGTTACTCATCTTTTTTTACCCTCTAGAGGTCTCAATGGTTTCATTTCATTTTCTGTTATCACTTCTCTTCAATCTCTTTCCCATCTTAATCTCTCGCATAATAAACTTCATGGTAATCTTCAAAATCAGTTTTTTTCAATTCTTAATCATCTTTTAGTGCTTGATTTGAGTTACAATCATTTCTCTGGTGAATTGTTACTTGGGAATGGAAACAGAAACACAAGTGTTGTTCAGGTGTTTGATTTGTCTAGTAATTTATTCAATGGAACATTACCGGTTTCTCTGATTCAGAATCTTGCAGAAGGAGGTAATTTGATATCTTTCAATGTAAGTAACAACAGCTTCATAGGTCATGTTCCAATTTCAGACTTTTGTGTTGTGCATAAGAATTCTTCTTTGAGATTCTTGGATTTTTCTTCCAATGATTTTGATGGTGCTATTGAGACTGGTTTAGGTGCATGTTCTAAGCTTGAGAGATTTAGAGCAGGTTTCAATTTTCTATCAGGGAATATCCCAATTGATATTTATGATGCTGTTTCACTCGTTGAAATATCGTTGCCACTGAATAAAATTGATGGAACAATTGGTGATGGAATTGTTAGCCTTACAAATCTCACAGTTTTGGAGCTTTACTCCAATCATTTAACAGGTTTTATCCCGAAGGATATCGGTCAGCTTTCGAAATTGGACAAGTTGCTTCTTCATGTCAACAATTTGACCGGTACGATTCCGCCGTCTTTGATGAATTGTAACAATCTTACTGTGTTGAATTTGAGGGTTAATAGATTGGAAGGAAATCTTTCGGCGTTCAATTTCTCGGGATTGGTTAGGCTTGTTACGCTTGATCTTGGTAACAATAAGTTTAGTGGTGTTTTACCGCCGACCCTTTATGATTGCAAGTCACTTGCTGCATTGAGGCTTGCTTCTAATCATATTGAGGGACAGGTTTCGTCTGAGATACTTGGACTCGAGTCTCTTTCGTTCTTGTCGATTTCTGATAACAAGCTGGAAAATATCACTGGTGCTCTTAGAATACTCACTGGTCTCAAGAAGCTTAGTACACTTATGGTCTCCAAGAATTTTTACGATGAAGTGATGCCGAACGGTGTGGACGTGATAGAACCTGATGGATTTCAAAATATCCAAGTTTTAGGGTTAGGTGGCTGTAATTTCACAGGTCAAATACCGAGTTGGCTTAAAAATCTGATGAAAATTGAGGCCTTGGACCTTTCCTTTAATCGATTTGATGGTTCAATACCTCCATGGTTAGGTAAACTACCTCAGCTTTTCTACATAGACTTGTCTGTTAACCAACTTACTGGCCTGTTTCCGATAGAGCTCACGAAACTCCCGGCGCTAACATCACAACAAGCAAATGATAAAGTTGAAAGGACTTACTTGGAGTTACCTGTCTTTGCTAATGCTAACAATGTTTCTTTGTTGCAATACAATCAACTTTCAAGCCTACCACCGGCAATATATCTTGGAAACAATCGCCTTAGTGGCAGTATCCCGGTCGAGGTTGGTCAACTGAAAGTCCTTCTTCAGCTGGACCTGAAGAAAAACAACTTCTCTGGCAATATACCGGATCAAATTTCAAACTTAATTAACTTAGAGAAACTAGACCTCTCGGAAAACGAACTATCCGGCGAAATTCCTGATTCACTCAATAAATTGCATTTCTTGTCTTTTTTCAGTGTAGCCAACAATAATCTTCAAGGACGGATACCAACTGGCAGTCAGTTTGATACCTTTTCCAACACGAGCTTTGAAGGAAACTCGCAATTGTGCGGTCTGGTTATTCAGCGCCCCTGTTCTTCTCAACAAAATGCTACCGGTACTTCAGCTAGAGGCAAATCCAAGAAAATAATAGTCATACTTATCATCATGGTGTGTTTTGGCATAGCTACCTTGATTACATTGCTGACACTGTGGATACTCTCTAAGAGGAGGGTCAATCCAAGAGGAGATTCTGATAAGATTGAACTTGAATCGATTTCTCAGTACTCGAACAGCGGTGTTCATCCGGAGGTTGATAGGGAGGCTAGCCTAGTGGTATTGTTCCCCAGCAAAAACAATGAAACAAAGGATCTTTCCATATTAGAAATCATAAAAGCCACTGAAAATTTCAGTCAAGCAAATATAGTAGGATGTGGCGGTTTCGGTTTGGTTTATAAAGCGTCGTTTCAAAATGGAACTCAGCTAGCCATCAAGAAACTTTCAGGAGATTTAGGCCTTATGGAAAGGGAATTTAAAGCAGAAGTAGAAGCTTTGTCAAATGCACAACATGAGAATCTGGTCGCATTGCAAGGCTACTGCGTGCACGATGGTTATCGACTACTCATATATAATTACATGGAGAACGGAAGTCTCGATTACTGGTTGCATGAAAAGTCCGATGGTGCGTCTCAACTTGATTGGCCGACTCGTTTGAAGATCGCACAAGGAGCAGGCTGTGGTTTGGCTTATTTGCATATGATATGCGAACCGCACATCGTGCACCGCGATATTAAGTCGAGCAATATACTCCTAAACGAGAAGTTTGAGGCACATGTAGCTGATTTTGGGTTGTCGCGGTTGATTCTTCCGTATCATACTCATGTTACAACCGAACTTGTAGGTACATTAGGTTATATTCCTCCGGAGTATGGACAAGCATGGGTGGCGACTCTGAGAGGAGATGTGTACAGCTTCGGAGTTGTTTTGCTCGAGCTTCTCACCGGAAGGAGGCCTATGGATGTATGTAAGCCAAAAATTTCAAGGGAGCTGGTTAGCTGGGTTCAACAGATGAAAAACGAAGGAAAACAAGAACAAGTATTTGACTCGACTCTGCGAGGGAAAGGATTCGAAAGCGAGATGCTGCAGGTACTCGATGTAGCATGCTTGTGTGTGAACATGAATCCTTTCAAGAGACCAAGCATCAGAGAAGTTGTCGAATGGCTAAAAAATGTCCGCAGAAATAATGACTAAAGACGAACATTTCACATATGTTCTTCGACAAAATTGTGACAGTAGATATGTATACTTGTGCAAATTTTACTTTTTTTTTTCTTTTCTATAAATACAGATTGTCATTTGTTACCAACTCGACCTGTGAGAATGTTATCGCCATAAAGATTTTGTGAATTGTACTAAGTGATTATCCATTTTCAACTGCAGAACTTTTGTACTATAGTGTCATTAGTTATGCAGAATTTATTCCTTCATATTTCAACAGCTTTTTATGACTATATCTGATTAAGAATACAGAATCATCGGCAATACACGCCTTTGTTAGACCAATTCTTGTTTAACTTAATCTTAATGCATTGGTGCTTTCAAACTGATGTGTCGGTGTTAGACCTCAAACATACGTTCAATCTGATAAGTCGGTGCTAAAGAATTTTTTTCCTGCATATAATCTAAAAGAGAATAAGCAATTTTGTTCATCCTAATAAGGAAATACACACTACATTCATCCTATGATACTGTGAACATCATGGTTTGGCGATATGTGATTCAACACTAATTGACATTTGAGAATTTGCATAGTGAATGTAACATACTTTCCATATCAGAATGTTGACAGTTGTTTATCGAACATACCCTGTGTTAATTTGAAGTATAATTATGCATCAAGAAAAAATGTTAGGCCAAAACGCAAAATCAGAAGGTGTGTCTGATGTCTGATACTATAGATTAAAGATGTGTCTGATGTCTGATTCTCTAATGCATATGATTAAATTTAATAACTTTTTCCCTCAAATTATGACGTCATCGACGTGTAAGTGTACGTCGAGTGTGATATGGAAATAGTTGAGAGGGACGTTGGAAGTTTATTGGAGATGTGGCATGATAGCATAGACGTGACTTGTTAATGATTACTTAATTGAATCTCTATATCCATCTTTTTGGTTGTATTGTATTGGTTAGAAACAAGAAAAACTGAAAATCATTCCTAACCATTCAAATGTGAGGTTCAGTTTTGAGTGGTGGGACAGCAAAAAACATAATGGCTATGCATGATTAACCATTTTTTACCAGACAAAGAATCAAATGGAAAAAATATATATAACATTATGCCACTCAAAGTGCATGAAATCATATCATGTTAGAATTTGTTGTTTTCAAATATCAATAGAAATTGCTGGTAAGCTTCCCTGGTAAGTACGGATAGCTGACATTCAGATTTGGTATCATTACATGCTATAATGGTTTCTAACACAATTACTCAATTACTGATAATGAAGTGCACACACCAACTATACGTTAAATCGTCAATATTAATAATAATTTGAAAAAATATGATAATTCAAGCTAAATTTAATAGGAAGAATTATGGTTCAATTTCTTACCGCTGCGATCGAGAGAGGGTTAGAACCACTTGATGTTAGAATTCACTCTAAATTAGATTAGTCGGTCCAGTGGACCGGATACTGGTGGTAAACTATGAAGTACGAACACCTCTAGAAATAGGTGTGTCGCAGTGTCCGACACTTGTATGACACTTGTACAACACGTGTCAAAAAAGTCAAAGAAGTGTCAGAAAAGTCAGACAAATATCTATTAAAAATAGTTTTTTCTTTGTTTCGACATACTTCGAATCAATGGTTGACACTCGTATGACATTCATAGCACATATGTCAGACAATTAAGACATGTGTTTCAAACAAAAATTTGTTTTTTTCTTTGCTTCAAACACCTATATACATATTTTAGACAAATCTCACACAAATTTAAAATTGTTAAACGTGTATTTGAGAAATTTTATCAATAAAAAATTAAAGACATTAAGTTTGATTAGAATATTTTCACTTTTTAAATCATATATGGATAAATAAAACTCAAATACTCTCTTATATACAACGGTGTTAGTGTCCTATGTTTTAATGTTATCGGTGTCGCATTTGAATACATCAGGAAAAAAACTCAAATATTCTCTTATATAATACAGCGATGTTGGAAAATGTTTCTAATTTTCTTTGTTTGAATTTATCCTGCATCACATTTGAATACATCAGGAAAAAAACTATTAGAAAAGATAAAGATAGGACCAAACAATTAAAGATAGCTCTTCACGATAATATATGAAAACAGCCTAAAGTTTATTCATAAACACTTGTGATAAGTGATTATGCTGTAAGTGCTTAACTAAATTGCTTATTCAAACAGCGCAGTGCTTTACTAATAATATAAATTAATAATAACAAAATCAATAACAAAAAAGCAGAGGTATTCTAAATGTAGATTGATAAAGTATGAAGAAGAGGAATATATAATAATATTGTCCTTAATTTCTAAATACTTCATTAAATTAGGATTCAGTTAAATAATTCTACTATTTACATTCTTTCATTATTTTTTGAGTGTCGTATGATTGTTTATCTACTAAAATTTGTTTTAGTTTTGAATTATTGTCTATTTGATTATACGTTGAGGTAAATTGTTTGATTTAACTTAGACCTTTTCTTAAGTGAATTTGAAAATAATTTTTATATGTTGTTAAATCCTTTGAGTCCGAGTCATTTTTTCGATGACATTATCGTATATTTAGTCGATTGACCTGAAAAAAAACTCTTTTAACCCTCACTTTAGAGTTAGATAGATTGTTATTTTTCTATGTTTTATTATGATGCATGAAAAAATTTTAAGTTTGGGGTTGCTTTTTGAATAAGCAACTATTTAAATTTGGGGTTGGGGTACTAGAATCTAAGAATATAAAAAAATGTCGACGGAAAAAATGAATAGAAGCTTGAAAACTTGTTATAAGGATTCAAATTTAGAGCTTATGAAAAAAAAAAGAGTCAAAATTTCAGTACCTATAATTGAAAGCAAACAAAGAACATACGTCAAGTTAACTCCAAGGAATTAAACCTAATGGCCAAATATATCTCACCTTGACATTCGTCAAGTTAAAACTCTTGAAAGACCTCAAAAGCGTGTTTTCGAATATAAAGTGACACTTTTAGAAGTCTTGCAAATTCATATGTTTGATGTCAATTGTATGTTAATGAGTGCTTACTATATTGTTTTAATAAGAATGAATGGTGAGATTGAGAAAAGGTTGAGTATATAGAAAATTGAAGAAAAATTCTTTGGATTACGTTCGATTGAAGTAAGGAACAAAAGTGATAACTCGGCAATGATTGGTTATTGTCATTGGTTTGATAAGTACAAAGTTCTGAGGAAGATCACAGTTATAAATGAGTTCCTTAAGGATAAGTAATATTGTAAATTACGAGTTGTGATGACACTTTGTCATCATGTAATTTTTATAAGAATTTGCATATTTTTTTGATGATTTTTGGTTAATTATGTTTAATTTTTATGAAGAAATAGAAAGAAAGTGAAGAAGTTGAAGAAACAAAGCAAAACCAAGAAATTGTGAAGAAAAAAAATATTATTTAGCATAATTTACATCATGACATTTGTCCGATAATTTGATCATATCTGGAGTTTTGCAACTCTGATTGAGACGAGACTCTTTGCAAAAGAAAGCTAAAAATGATCTATAGACCCTAGAACTATCTTGGCCGTGACGAGACCCATCATGGTTCCAATGCTTTTCATCATGATAGCGATGGACTGCTTTACAGACATAGATAGAGATACCACTAGTGAGAAGAAAGTGATGTTAAAGTTCTTGGACAACGAGGTCAATATCAAACTGTATCTAGAAGTAATAAGGCAACCCATATCAGGAATTGTCATCCTTTGTCACGACTCATAACACCCAAGCTACCTACTCACAACGAACTCATAACTTCAAAGATCGTGTCATATAACACATTAGAATACAATTGATTATGTTGATAAACTTCAACATCTAATTGCGTTTGACCCAAAGACTATGAATCTTTACCCCATCCAAGTAAAGCGAAAATATCACAAAAACCACAAGTTCCATTAGGCTCCATATCAACAATATCATCAATGTAGACATGTATAAAACAGGAAATTGAGACAAGTAAAAATGTCTTGAAGACTTGCTAGATGGTTGACTTGTATTTGGTTTTGTACATGATCTCTTCATCTTATTACTTCCCCGTGAGCCCTAGACATACTCTCACTGCGAAGGATCGTGATGCGTATCACTCCCTTGACCCTTTTGACTCTTCTTATTTCCTCTTTTTGGCTTGTACTTCACTAGTGGTGGACATATGAAAATTGTGAATGGATGTGTTAGTTCCTAAAATTTTTTCTTCATTACGCTTTATCTAACTATATCTAATGTGCCGAAATACCTCTTCAACTCTTCACACTCTTCTTCTAAATTCAAATGTATTCCAATATCTTCTTGAGTGACTTCATACTCTTCAATATTAAATTTTATGATATCTTCTCTTAAAGTCCTTTAGGGATTTATAGTTGGGAATATAGTTATGGCAAGCAATATGGATTGCCTCTTTCGCTTTCTCTAAAAAAAATCATTCTTAGTAAAGTTTCGGCCCTATGAAGAAAAGTGTTCCGGTGTGGGCCTCACCTCGGCAGGCCCAATACCAAATACGGCCCAACAGGCGAACTGAGCACACCTGGCACACGCCCCTTCGGACGAGCAGGACCGTCCGCCGGGCACAAGCCATCACACCGCATCCCCTTTGTCGCCCGTCACACCGGACGAGCAAGACTACCCGGGCTCCCTCCGCGGGAGAATAACGTGCTCGGCGCACGTTCTCCACGTGCTCCCCTCCGCGGGGACACGTCATCGGCCAACCGCCCACCTCCGAAAGAGCAGGTCAAACCCACTTTCCGGAGACCTAGGAGCGGTTGAACTAGGGCGAAGACCACGTCCTGGTCTTCACTACGCCACGTAAGCCCTAGCAGTCATTAGGGTTGGGCCTGGTCGTCTGGCCCACCTCGAATGACCGTTGGCCCAGCGCTGGGGTCTCTCTATAAATACCCTCTTCTTCAAGAGGGTCAGGTAACTCTTCTTGCCCCCCTTTTCTGTACTATTGCTTCCTCTCTGTCCAACTTCTTACTTGGGCGTCGGA